TAGGGCGTAAGGTTTAGGGGTTTAGGGTTTAGAGGTTTAGGGGTTTAGGGTTTAGGGTTTATATAGGGGTTAGGGCTTTTAGGGTTTAGGGTTTAGGGTTTATGAGTTTAGGGTTTAGGGTTTAAGGAGCAAGGCAAGAAGAGCAGAGAAAGGGGACTTGCCTTAGAGGCGTAAAGGATTTTTGCGGTGGTTTTTGCTGTTGTAGGGCCTTCTAGACTTTAATATGTAAACGGCATAGGGTTTCACAAATCTGGGCAGCGTAGGTTCGGTAACTTGGGGTCTAGGGATTCGGACGTATAGCTTAGGATGTCATGGTTTAGATTTGACGGTGCCAGGTTAGGTTCATGTAGACCACGGATGAATGGCACCCTTTTTATTTTTGAGCCTTTACGTTAGGATCCCTCCTACAACCCTAATAGCAAGTAAAGGGTGGTTGAATGATAGGGGTCTACGGTTATGTAACACCCGTAACTGGGATTCTAAACACCCCTCGAGAGGTTATCCCCCTGGTCGTTTGAGCAACTTGTCGGACCCAAGACCGTTTTCTCGCCAACCCTTGTTAACGGCATATCCAAAGCTAGCTTCCTTTCTAGAGCCGAACCTGTATAAAAACCTCTCGCGATCCTTCAAAGTACCGGGCACTCTTTGAAACATCCCGGGCCTCCTCGTCCTGGCTCTCTGGAGCCATGGCTTGCGGGGTCCAGGAAAAACGGCTGAGGGTTCAGGTTTTCAGGATTAGGGGCTTGAACTGACACATCCTGAAACCTTTCAAGTCATGCTGGCGGTCTTGCTTCGAGACGTTCGGCTTGCTTTTGTTGTCGTCTCCTGCTGGCAGAAGCCATCCGAAAAGGACTCTCAGACGGATAGGTGTCCGTGGAGTTCATCAGGTTTCTGAAGAAGGCAGCTCCTGGGCTACCTCCTGCCTCAACGCTCTGAGCAAAGACCTCCGGCCTGAATCTGAAGAGGCAGAGCTCAGAGGCTCAGCACTCGGTGATGTCTTGTGGCTTCCCGTTTCGCCATTCTGTGCTTGCTGTAAGTTTGGGAATTTTGCTGCGGCGCCCCTGAGGCCATGGCTGCACGATTCCCTTTCCGAATCTTCTGCAGAGCGCCACCTTTTCTGAACCCCTCGTCCCATCGGCTCTATCGAGTGCCTCCGTGCCTCCTTGCCCAACCGAAACCGGGATGCAGCACCTAAGTGCGGACGGCATCGTGGCGGGTACACCCTGGAAGATCGCAGCAAAGCACGCCCTTTGGGTGCGCCAGCGAGGTTTTAAAGCCGAAAGAAAAAGAAACCAATTGAATCGATTCATCAAGTCGTGCCTTGCCTAACCGAGATGCTGCAACTCAGTCTGCACAGCATCGTGGATGTATTGCAGGCAACGACGCACCCTCAGGGCGCTTTGGTACGACCGAAAACTCAGCTAATTACAGCTCCAGATCCGCAACCCTGCACTGATGCATCGGGCGACCAGCCGTTGTCCAGTCGCTGCGTGGGCCGGGGTGCAAGGTCCCATCGGCTCGGAAGATCTGCATGGTCTGTCCATCCACGTGCGCGACGGAGAAGTGCCCGCCGTCCACGTCTCCAACTCGGAACTTTCCCAGCTGCACGAAGCGATCCCCGAAGGAGATGCCCAAAGGTACGTCCAGAATCGGGCGGTGCCACAAGCCGAAGTCACGACGAGGTCCGGGATGTAAGGTGCCATCCGAACGGAAAATCTGGATCGTCTGGCCGCCGTTGTGGGAGATGGAGAAGTGGTTGTCGTCCACAGCACCCATCCGGAAGCTGCCGAATTGCATGAAGCGGTCGCCAAAGTGCACCTTTCCATGCGAGCCGGTCATCTTGGGCTCCCAACTCCAGCTATTAAAGTCAGTCCGGGGCCCTGGATGGCGGGTCCCGTCGAAGCGGTAGATCTGAGGAGTCTGGCCATCCCTGTGTGACACAGAGAAGTGGTGGTCATTGATGGCGGCGAGGCGCCAGTCCCCAATCTCCATGAAGTTCTCACCCATGGCAATTCCGGGACAGCTGCTCAGGGCCGCATAGATGCTCCTGCAGTGATCGTGCTGATAGCGTTGGTTCACCATGGCGGCGTGGCCTGTCTGGTGGTAGAAGTTGTGGCCATCGTTTCTGAAGATGTGAAGGATCTTGCCGTTCTCGTGGGTCAAGACCAGGTGTCCTCCGTCCGCATCACCGAGGCGGAAGTTCCCAATCTGAAGGAAGCGATCTCCGAACGTGATGCCAACGGCCGGCCCCGCACTGAGGCCCCAGGGCTGGTAGTCGCCCCGCGGCCCAGGGTGAAGGGTGGCGTCGCTCCTGTAGATCATGGCCGTCCGCCCTCCATGGTATCGGTGAGAAACACTGAAGTGGGTGTCATCCATGGCTCCCAACCGGAAGTTCCCGATCTGAATGAAGCCGGGGCCGAAGGTGATGCCGTAGGGGAAGCCGGTGGGACGGCCCCAGGAGCCGAAATCTGAGCGGGGTCCGGGGTGAACGGTGCCATCGTCCCGGTAGATGTAGGCGGTGTTGCCACTCTTGTGGGACACTGACAAATGCGTGGCATCAATGGCCGCAATGCGCCACTGCCCGAGCTGGATGAAGCGGTCACCAAATGTTCCGAAGTCCGAATCACAGGGTCCGAAGGCCATCTCTGCGATGGTTTTGCAAGTCCAGGCCATGGGCCATCGGTGCAGAATGCGCGGGCTCCAGTCCGTGCGAGGCCCGGGGTGCAGGGTGCCATCCAAACGGTAGATCTGGGACGTCCATCCGTTCTTGTGAGACACCACCAAGTGGTGCCCGTCCGCATCCCCAAGCCGGAAGTTGCCCAGCTGCATAAACCTCGGAGCGCAGCTCCAGAGAACGCCTACACTTGCCCGATGTCAGGCAGTTAATCTTGCTGGCCTGTCATTTCTGACACTCCAAAGCCTGTCCCCGAACGTGATCCCCACAGGGCTCCCCACGGGGCGATCCCAGGTGCTGAAGTCCTTATCTGCACGAATCAGCTCCATGTTCGAAAAAGTGTCCCGAAAACGCACCTCTCGCCTAGCGTCGGTCCGCGGTCCACCAAACAGCTTCCCATCATCTCGGAAGATCTGAATGGTGTTTCCGTCCTTGTGCCTCCGCCAGGGTGAGTTTCAGACTCCCCGAAAGTTCATCTGGTACATGACTAATGTAAGAGTCAGTTTACCCGGAGCTTAAAAAACCCTCCCAGGCCAGGATTTTCGGGGCGCATGTTTAGTTTTAATTGCGTAAAAATCCAAAGCCAGAATGGCCTAACCAGTTGATCTTAGACATAAAGTGGAAATAATTAATGGGGCGGTGATAAAAAAAAACTCCGGGCCCAAAATCCCCAAAAAAAAAGTAGGTGCCAGACTAAGAAACCATGAAAAGCTGAAACTACCAGGATCCTAAAGTCAGACATCAGAGTGAGAGAAGCCTAGACCCCCGTAAACCCAGCTGGCAGAGTGCAGTTCCTCAGACATCTCACTGAACTACCATCTCGCAGAGTGCAGGTCCAGAGACTGAACTGCAGCAGCTATTCTTGAGGCCTCTGCCTGATTAAATTTCTATACAAACGGAGCCATTTCACAAAGCCCCTTACGAGCCCTGCGGATCGCCACAATAAATGGGGTGACAATAATAAACTCCGCCGGGGCGGGGGGTCCTGGAAGCAAGGCTTTCTTCACAAGACTACTGAGAAAGCAAAAGCTAATGAGCCTCGAGACATAAGTTTGCTGTTCGAGAGCTGCAGGCTTTGGCCTGAAGCCAGTGACTCTGGATTCCAGGAACTGCAGCAGCTATTAATACTGCTGCAACTACGGCCCCAGACACGGCCAGACGTTGATTATTGCCACCCCCCAATCCAAGCCCTGCCCCACAAGACCCGCGCTCAAAACAACCTCAGGGGGGGAGGTTTATTAAACGCACTCCTACATTAATTACATTAGTACCGCACAAGTTTCACTCTTTGCGACGGGAGCGCGAGATTGAGAAGTGGTTGTCGTCCACTGCACCAAGACGGAAGGGACCGATCTGGATGAACTGGTATCCGAAATCGATTCCGTTGGACTTACCGGAATCAAAGGCATTCCTCACATCGCGGGTGCTGCAATCTACCGCGGCCGTGCAGGCCTGTGTTTCGTGCCGGGCACAAGACAAAGCATCCTCGTCCCATCACCGGTACGCCACAACATGCTGAGTCAGCATAGTATGGTTGTTCTTCGTCGCCATCTTCATCACAGCTTCACCACCATCACCGTCAGCAGCAGCACGAGAGCGGCGTCATCGGCATCAGGAGCAGCGGCAGCGGCGCATGACTGGTAATGGCATCAGCATCACCATTAGCATCATCATCTTCTTCTTCCTCATCGGCAGCAGCAGCAGCATCGTCGTCATGATCGCAAGCTGGCTTATCACGACACTGTAGATGGCAAGTCGAAGACGTTCCAGCCTTGCTACCAATGCCCCTCGACGGCTATGAAGCGTGTCTGGAAGAGCGTTTGGAGGTGCAAGTGAATCCCAAACTCTAACCACTCTTGCAGACTCGGCTCAAGTGCCATGCGCCCCAGTCACTGCGAGGACCGCCGTGAAGGGTACCATCGCTGTGGAAGATCTGCGGCGTCTGCTTCGTTCCCTGACTGGTGAAAGATGGAGCTTACAATCCTCCTACCCTGAGGTCCCCCGAAGGCCTGTCACAGTAGAGTTTCTGGGGCTGAAGTACACAGCAGAAAGGAACCCGGCAACTGAGCCAAGCTCCTTGTGCGAGATCGAGAAGTGCTCGTAGTTAATGGCAGCCAAGCGCCACTCCCCAAGCTGAATAAAGTGATCTCCCATGGGGATGTCGTAGCATGTTGCCGCCTCTTTGGTCAGCTGATCTTTTTCCTTGACCTGCTCAGGCGGAGGCACTTCGATTCCAGGCTCGGGCGGTTCGTACGACCGGCCAGCAGTCTTGCACCCGAGCTCCGCTGCACAAGGAGCATCCTCGAAGCCAGGGGTCGTGTAGACCTCTTTGCACCAGAATGTCTGAGGGGACATCAGCTGAATGGCCTTTAGATTCAAGTCCAGGCCGATTTCGGGGATGAGATTTGCAAGCGCTTCTGAAGCGAGGTTGGCGGCAGAGTTGATTTTGTCCGTCACTTTGCTCAGGCCCAGGCAGTTAGCCGTTTTTGAAATCATGGCCAGAAAGGCTTGGGCCCCAGCCAACACGGCTTTCTTGATGGCGTCCTGGATGGTTTTGGTCGTGAAATGGCCCCGGATCGCGGGTGGCAGTGCAAAGGCCGTGATGTCCGCGTCGGCGTAGATTGACACGGCCTGCAAGCTGACCCTGAAACCTCAACTCCAAACACCCCGACACCAGGTCCTACACCCTAAGCCCTAAGCATCTCTGAGCCAATGTAAGCCATCCTAGCCAGTGGGGAAGGCTGAGCTTCGGACAGCCGCATTGCACATGCTCAGGTCCCTCCCTCTCTCCAAGGTCATGTTCTCGCTGACGACGGAGGTCATGTTGGAGTCTGTCCCAGCCAGGACACGCTGAGAGTCCTGGAACACGAAAGACAAAATCACCACCGCCACCACAACAGCAACAGCAACAGCAACAGCAACCGCAACCGCAACCGCAGCCGCAGCCGCAGCCGCAGCCGCAGCCGCAGCCGCAGCCGCAACCGCAACCGCAACCGCAACCGCAACCGCAACCGCAACCGCAACCGCAACCGCAACCAACAACAACAACGACAACAACAACAACAACACCAACACCAACAACAACACCAACAACAACAACAACAACCACAACAACCACAACAACCACAACAACCACAACAACACCAACAACACCAACAACACCAACAACACCAACAACACCAACAACACCAGCAAACAAACAAACAAACAAACAAACAAACTATCAAACAATCAATCAATCAATCAATCAATCAATCATTCATTCATTCATTCATTCATTCATTCATTCATTCACTCGCAGCGGTAGAAGTCCTCGAATGTCTCGGTTCGTTAGCCTCGCTTCGCGACGACTCAACTTAGGCCTCGGTCCCTTGGGGAGTTTCTCCTCCTCTGTGGCAACTTCCGCTACTGAGCTTGGACAACTACTCACTGGGTTCAAAGCAGCTCTGCTCCCCGTCCCTAAAGACAGCAGGAGGGACGACGATTTTTCCTTATCAATCTTCCTTGGAAGC